TAAATATAAAAAAAATTAAAAAATAAATATAAAAAAAAATATAAAAAAAATATAAAAAAAAATATAAAAAACAATATATAAAAAAAAAATATAAAAAAAATAAGAAAAAATATAAAAAAAATAAGAAAAAATATAAAAAAAAAATAAATAAAAAATAATAAAAAAAATTTGAAAATTAAAAAAAAATAAGTATATATTTAAATATTTTATATATTAAATATTTATATATTTAATTGTCTATTGACAATAAAAAAATGCATCGGATAACATTCTATTTGTTTTCTCGGATGCTAGTACTAGTTCACCACTATTTATTTGTTGATTTTAAAAGATTTGTTGATTTTTTCAACTCACTCCACGACATGACTTGGACCATGGAATCAAACTACTTCACCTAACTGCGTACATAAAGTTTCACTTCACCATAACTTCTTGTTTTAACCATTAATTTTAATCATAATGGGGGCTAAAAATTTTTCATTCACACTTCAAAAATGTCTGCTAAATTTGTATAACGACTGAAAATAATTATAAGACAACATTTATTATGTAAAAAATATATTTATAATTTAATAATTATTAATTTTAATTTCAATTCAATGTGTTAATTTAATGAACTCAATGTCACTTTGAATCTTTTAAATTGCTGTTATATTCATTAGTTCTATTTTAGCAGTTGTGTTTTAAAAATTGTCAGGAAAAAGGCACGATTATCATAATATTTTATATCTATATATAGTTGCTAGACGGTACGCAGTACTGATTTAAGTAATGAACTGCCCACAATAAATGAAATATATGGCATAATGCCAAGGGCCAACTAAATGACAGTGTAAACAACAAACTGATTGTGAATGTCACTTAATGTTAGTAATTAAGAATATGAATATGAGTTGAAGAAGATGATAATGTAGTCGGGGAAGATAATTATCTATAATAAAAATCATTTGTCTTTCTTTTTATTTTTGGAAAAAAATATTTTTTCTGAAATAAAAACAGAAAAAATACAAAATAGTTGTAAATATGAAGTAATAAAATATCACACTTTATTGTAAGTAAAACAAGTGATAAGGTCATAAGTGATAAGATTATAAACTAAAAAATTTAGATTAAGAGGATATCTCTAAAAACATGTAATTAATATATTTCAAGAGTTGAAAAATACAATCAATAGTTTTTGTTATAATTTGTGCTATAAATTATAAATTAAGGTAAGAATTCGAATATCGTAGAGGTACGTATAAGATAAGTAAACAATGACTTGGATTAGAATTACCTTGTTGCATCCAACTTCCACATAATGTATAAAAAGCTTAATGTCAAAATGTCAATCGAAAAGGATAAATGGCTATTTAACTCTGAGAATTGTTTAGAAATCATAACTTTCATCTGTTGAATTATTGCCTAAAAAATAATGGAAATATTTCGATGTTATCCTGATGCATGATTGCTAAGCAATTTCAACAAAAAGGACTACAGATCATTTGGTTCATCAAAACACATCAAATATATCGGACTGACATTATTTTGGATAAAAAAAGTGTCATGATTTTGCCATATACAGCAGGAATTAATCCGTATGCACTGCGTTGTTCAAGCAATATTTAGAAGGTAGGGTGGTAGTGAATCTTGTGAATGAAAGCAAAAAAAAAAATATTTTTGTTATTAAGTCCACATTCCTAGCGTCTTGAACCTTATATTACATATACATATACATATTATTAGGATATAAAAAGATTAAATTCAAACTTTTTATATTTAAGAGCTAAATACAGTTGAGAAATTTCCTATCTCGAACGAGGGTAAGATCTCTTGGCATAGTGTTTTCCTTCTTGACTAGATCAAAACAGAGAAATTTCAAAGATCAAAGACAATATGCTTTGGCTATTCTATATCCCACTTTTTGCAATAATAATAAATATAATTTAATATAGTCTCGCTCAACTATATTTGTTTAAGTATATCCAAAGGGGCCTGTTGAAATGTGAATATAAATGTAGGTCCATAAAAACGTGACCAGCTGACTGAAAAAAGTTTGTTGCAAATCATAAAAAAATTTACATATAAATTAAAATTAAATTTCTTTATATTAAACGACCTTAAGCGACCTCTAATCGAATCGACGAAAAATTTTGAAATTACTGATTGAATAATTGCAGAAGCAACACTTACTTAATTACAATTTAAAGAACAACATGCAAAAATTTACTAGAGGAAAAAAATAAATGAAATAAAAATAAAATTATCTTAATAAAAATTGAAATAACTGAAATGTAATAAAACAAAATAGACAATGAAAATTGTAAATTACAATCAGAATAGCTTAAGCATGCTATTTAGTAAGGTAGCGCAGTAAAGTGGTCCACAGGCATTACGGTCAGTGCATAGCCAAAAAAAATATATTTCAAGCAGAAGAATAGTTCGGAATATTTTACTCTTTTGTCGGACAAAAAGGAAGATGTTGTTGTTGTTGTTAGTTGCGCTTGTCCGAGTCCTTAATTGAGTGTGACTGAAATTTTTAATTGTTTGTTTGTTTAAATTATTTCAGACTAACAATTTATAGTGTCAGTTGTAATATTAACAACAAAATATTAAATCATATACCAGTACATATTAATATATAAGAATTAATTTGTATATAATAAATAAATATCCCATGGAGCGGAACTGAAACCACCTTCTGATCAATATAAAACAAACGACAATAAAACAGACATAACATCAACAGAAAAAAAAAAAAGAAAAAGCTTGAAGCTAGAACTTATGTTAAATACGTCCATATCATTATTAAACTATATGCCTTGAATACTGAATGATCAATAAATTTTTTTTTGTTGTAAATATTGAGTTACTGAACAGATTCCTTAATTGGTTTACTAATCGATTAATACATCCTATTAAAATAACACATTAATTTAGTTCTTAGTGATGGTTAAAAAAACTCTGAAACATTTTGTTCTTCTTCTTTATATAAGTAATTTATAAAACACTAAATTTTAAATCAAAAATATTATAATAAAAGAAAAAGATTTCATTTATTATGTATTAGACCTTATCATATACACATCCTATTCTTACACAATAATTATAAAATTAATAGAAAGATGGGCAAATTCCTAGTAAATTGATTCTAGGATCCAAATTTCTAGACGAATGAAGTGTTACCAACTACACATTGGTATATCAGTCAAACTGATATACATGAACTACATGAAATTCATACGAATGACAGGTGTTTATATTGTTTACAAGATACAAACTACTGATGAAAAAATTTTGCCCATTGAAAGGTTTATACATTCTCAAAATGACTGTGTTTACTTAATTGAACGCACTGTCTTCACTACCATTTGAGACTAAGAATGGTATGGGCTGTGACCTCCAATGGACGTTGTCCAATCGTATTCATCGAGCCTAATGTCAAGGTCAATACGATTTATCGGGAAAAGGGAAAATGTTTTGAATGTTGCTTTAGAGCGGCGGTCAACATGTGTTATGGAAGATGGAAGAGGTATTATAAATATTTATACAAAAAAAATTTTAACATAATAAATATATAAGCATTTTGACCATAGTCATCGTTTCCAAAATTATTCTTCACAAATACATCTCTTGCTCCTTAGAAATACTTCATTTTTTTGTCCAATCTTGTCAATTCAAACTGGGTTTATTCTTACATAACACATATATTATTGCTGAAGAAAAAGGAGGAGAAATAAAGTAAGACGAATATATGTAATATTATACATATATATATAGTAGTATGTAGAGACGTTTCCTATTAATAAGTCTTTATATTTAAAGAAGTAAACAACTGGTAATAGTTAAGACAATTTATATAGCAGTGGTTTGTTTACAAATAAACAACAAAATTTAGTAAAATTCAAATTTGACACGGCTCAATTAACGACTGTAGCAGTCCAAAAATAATATAATTTTATTAATCAGTTTGGTCAGTTAACTTCGTGAAATAGATTTGTTGTTATTCTAAGCTATACCGGAGGCACGCCAAAAAAAATGAATACTTAGCCTTACAGTAATAATAATAAGACGCCACTTTCAAGCAAAATAATATATGTTGGGCTTACAATCGTCCATCAAGAACCGATAAACTGCACCGGAACAATGTTGTAAACTACTACGGGAACGAAGAATCAAATTATAAAGAGGTATGTAATGTATATATTGGTACTACAAAGGGCACTAAATAAAATGATAACTGAGCATTTTTCCAACACAAATAAAAAACAATTTTAAATTTAAAATAACCAAGAGACAGACTTTGACAATATTATGATACTTGAGAAAAAGAAATCGTAAGAATTAACTCTTAAAATCTTACGCATTGAAGAGAAAACCAAAAACAAACAATTGATTATAAATAAGTTACAGAAAAGACACTTAAATAATCAAAACTAAAATTTGGCGGTTAACTTATAAACAAGACTTATAAATAGACGAGAAGATTGTACCATATGGACTTAGATACATGTATTGGAAAGGTAATTTGAGTCTACGTTTTTATTGGTCAAACATATGTCATCAGTACTCATCACTGCATATCTCAGGTCTATTCTCGTTCTTTTCAAATAAAGATAAAGTAAAGTTAAAAATGGGAAAGTTCTTGAGTTAACACTCCTTGAAATAAGCAATGTGAAACGTTTTCAAGCAAAAATTTAGGAAATCATATGATTTTACATCTATGGGTTGTTAGTTTCAATCTTAATTATGGACAATGGGTAATGCACCTAAAGATGGTAAAAACCGATAAAACTTCGGGTTATGAAGATTACAATCTATTTTTTTTTATCAAAGCTAAAAATACAAGACTAAACTAAAAGATGTTTACAAAACTAGTAAGGACACTGAAAAATTAATATATAAACTGTAAAATAGGAACTAATATGTTTATAATCCTTTTAAACAATATGTTTTATTACTTATGTATTTATTCAGACTATTGCAGTTTTTAGAAGTGCAACATAAATTTTCAATCTTACTTTTTATTTGTGCTGTGCCTGACAGTATTCTGCACTGTCTAGATGAAACTCCATAGATGTGGGAACAGGTCTAACCAGCTGAAAAAAAAGAAAACTTTATTAATATATAAAATAACATTAATGTTTGAAAATTCGAATTATAAATATGTATTTATAGTAGTTATGAGTATTATCAATTGAATAAAAAAATAATCAATTGATACGAAATAGATATTTGTTCTGAGATATCAAAAATAATATTATACACAAGTACCACAGAGTAGTGCCTAGTTTCCAAAACTTCACAGTTATTATAGAAGGAACGACAGTTATAGAAGGAATAAGCAAATATAAAGTGTTATTGTTAATGTAAGGTTCAAAACTAACATCAAATATGGAATAAAATAAGTTACTTTGTTACATACAACTAACCTGGATGGTTAGTGGAACCACACACAAGTTTTAATTTACTTTCTTTCGATTTAGAGGAAGTTTTTCTTTCGACTTTTTTATGGCACATTTTTTTTAATTACACTTAAGTGGGTAGATATATTATAAAATGTATAACTCGCATATAGAGTAAATTGCCGATATTATTACAGAAACCAACTTGCAATTGGACTAACATTTGACTTAAGCGAGTATTATGTTAAACATGATTCTCAAACAATGATGGCGCGACGTCGCACAGTGTGGCAAAACTCGATATTTTCGGAAACAAATATTAAAATGAAATTTTCCTAAAAAATTTTTTCAACCAATTTGATTGAAATTTGAATTATAAATTAAATTAAATTAAATATTTATAAAATAATAAATGCTCTTATATTATTACTTATTAAATTTGTTGTTGAAATAAATGAGCTGTATTTAAGGTCATATTTTGCACAATTGTTAGTGACTTTTGGGGCTTAAAACAGATATAAAACATAGAGTGTGCAGGACAAATTTTTGTATTCTGTGAAGTTCCACCATTTGCCTAGTAGTAGGAAAATTTTATGAAAAAACTCCGACACCTTTTTTGGGTATCGCAGATAAAAATGAAAACGGCCATGAAAAAATTGTTGACTTTTTGTGCAATTTCACTTATAAAATTTTATTGATAATTAAAATTGAAACTTTGTTTACACAGAATGAATAACAATATGCTAAGCTTGAAAAAAATGTCAATTATGATTATTTTTGAATAAGTGTTAAGTGTTAAAAGTTAGAGGGATGGGTTTAAAATTGGTCCAATTTTTGCAGAATCACAATTTCGTTAAAATTGTCTAAAACTGCTAATAACTTAAAAACTAATGGGAGGATCACATCCATTTTTTGTATAAAGTTGTGTTGTTCTGTACGTAATAAATGTATATAGTAATGAGATTAAAAACTTTTTTTTAACGATATCGAACGATTTTTTATGAAAATCGTACCTATCAATATTTTTAAGGGAACTACGGACACCACTAAATGCCTCATGTTTCACTTAAAATATCACGAGATTCCAGTAGGCCGATTAGATTTAAAAAAATACCATCTCAATAACTATATTTTAGTAAAATTTCATATCAATATCTCTACTGGTTCCGAAAATATCAAATTTTTATCGACTAATTTCACACACTGTGCGTCGCTTGCTATCACACATTATTCACGGTCGACATTATTAAGAACTCTCCTCAGCAAAAAATACAACAAATATGCTACTGGCTATATGAATACCCAGCATAGGGTGATAGGGTGAAGGAAATGATCAATTTATATTTTCCCATTCTTTAAAGATTATAATTTTAATTTTTATTGTTGTGTTGAAAACGAATTTTACTCATTTTGGGCTTAAGTTAATAAGTTGATTCTATGAAATATGAAATATTGTATCTTGGACTGTTAAATGAATCATGAGCTGTTAAATACCGAGCTGTATAATTCATATTAACGGCAACTCAATTAATGCAGACACATCAGACTGATTATGCACTTTGTTGATTGCATTATATACACATGTGCATGCATAACAAATACAAACTTCCTCTACTGTGTCTGACACTCTAGACTGCTCGCACTATTCTGCATAGACATGGATGAGTACGCAAAACTGTATTGGCACGCAGCTAGAAGTGAAAGTTAATAGCTTTTGATACCGATTCATTTAATCATTTACGGGTCTCAATTGAATATATAGCAAACATTTTCATAAACATTTACTGCAACTAAAGTCGTGCAAGTTAAGTCATAATTTCATAATAACAACTAATTCTAATTATTACCACCCATAAATTCATAATCATTCATAGACGGTGTGCAACTTTAAAATACAAAAAAAATATCTAGCCCCGTCTTGCTAGATAATTTGTATCGGTAAATAGAAACAAAAGCATCCGTGGGACAATACTTTGTCTCAAGGATGTTTTTCACAAAAGATATTTCAAACTCAATTTTACATTTCTTTGTTTCTTCTTGAGTAATACTTTCAATAATTTTGATTCTAAGTTTTAATTTTTAATTGATTCTGATATGACTGATATGACTGATATGATAGTAAAGATATGACTCTGTCTAGATAAATTGTTACTGGAGTTAGACAGTGCATAATAAACTCGCAATTGATGCAGAGTGGCAACTATCTGAAGGGACACAATGAAGCAGTTACTTGAAGAAATTCCATACTAATAAGCAAATAAATATACTATGGTCGTATAGGAAATTAAATAATAATAAATGTCCTTGTGAACAATGCACTTATTTGTTCACTTAGCAGTCGATATAAGCAACACCAGAACACTATATATTAAATGAAAAGTTTTAATACAAAAAAATTTTTTGAAACAATTTAAGAGATTTTTAGGGTTTTCTTTGGCATTTCCTTTTCTATTTCACTAATTTCACTAATTAATTTTATGTAGAGTCATTGTTAAAACTTTTGTGAAATGCAAACCACAAAGCTACTTATACTGCAATACTAAATAAATAGCTCTATACTGCACTACTATATATAAGCTATATGTATATATATATATATATATATCTGGACACATATTTGTAAACATATTCATTTATTTATAATGTTCTACGCGCAGTAAGTAATTAATGGCACATAGTTTATTGCTATAAAAAACTGCTGCTGTCATGTTGCCAATTCTATCTCTGAAGCCATCGCAGAGTCAAGCCATAAAATCATATGCCAACATTCATGGGCACAGATACAAAACTGATACTTTCTACGGTGCTAGCATGATAAATAATTGATTAATTGATAGTGCATCGAGTATATACAAAAAGCAAAGGGAAGATAGCAAAAACGCAAATAAATATCAGAAAATACATCAACCACAAATTATTTAATAAAAACTAATTGTATCATGGGAGTTTTAATTAAAAATCGTAAAAATCTATATTGAAAACTCTATGGGATTGCATAAGCGTTCAGTTTAGATATTAAATATAAATATCATTGTGATTTCTTTGTCCTTTTATCTTTTTTTACAAAGTTTCTTTTTTTTTCATATAACATATAACTAAACTGAGATCAAAGTACAAATAAAAATTATATTCAATAAACATATTCCATGTCTCTTGCCACTGTTTTTTCATTTATATTTATACTGGAATATATTCACCTAAATATTTTTAGTTTTATTTATTATCCTAATTAAATACACATTTATAAACATATTCATAATTACAATCATATTCTTAATCATAATCATAATTATAATTATTATAATCATTATAATCATTATAATCATTTTAATCATTTTAATCATTTCAATCATTATAATCATTGTAATCATAATCACAATCGTAAACATAATCATAATCGTATTTTTCATTTCTATTTTGAATCTTACACATGAAGTAGTCACAACACATTTTTTTGTATATAATCCTTACAATATAAATTGAAACTTTCCATACTGGAATATTATAAAATGTAAGGTTATAAAAAAAAGAACTTTTTATAAAGAGTGACACAGAAATTGAGCTCTAAGACCAACTAGAAACAATAAAAATAGGTATAGTTAAAAAACATAACCTATGGAACGGTTATTGTGGAAACAGTATCGACAATCATCAGCCTTTTTGAAAAGCATCATAGTTACTAAAACCATCAGTTGCTTTTCTTTTCATCAACCTCTCTATTTAATTTAATTATCTACAACTACGTGTAGTCTAAGTTAGCTGTTGAATAAGTAATCAGATTAAAACTTGACCCCAAGGTACGAGTATACAATTCCGTAATGAAACTAATAGGGGCGAATGCGGCTGATTAAACTAATGGAAAAATGTGTTCATCTAATATTAATATCATTCAGCGCGCACAGTCAAAAATACCAAGGTCCATTATATCAGTTCCTCGGTTAATCAGAAAGGAAAATATTCATAAAGACTTTAACATTATACTCGTCGAGATGAACTGACAAGGCACCTCATAAAGTACAAACCAAGATTACGCGAACATCCAAATATTTTAGCAAAAAGAATTCTTAATGTCACAAACAAATACTGCGAGACTGCGAGAAAAAATTCAACTTTTTATTAACTTGCAGCTCAATATTTCTCTAATCTGGGTTCCCGGCCATAGGGATATTTTCGGAAATTGCAAAGCAGACGAGTTAACCAGAAAGGGTGCTTCAGAACCATACTCGGAGCACCTGGACTATCTGGGCATATCGCTAACATCATGTAAATTGTTATTGAGTTCTTTCTGCACTAATACTTTTAATAAAAGATGGGAAGACTCAACGATATGTATACATCTGTATGCAATCTGGCCACTTTCCGATAAAAGGAAATCGAAAACTCTCATTGAGATGTCCCGCAAGGACATTGGTCTTCTGGTAGGGTTGACTACAGGGCACTGTAAGCTAGGGAACCATGCTAGAAGACTAGGTCTTCCTTTCAACCAAATCTGTCGTAGCTGTGGGGAGGACGATGAGAGCGCATCTCATCTGTTGTGTTTTTTTCCAGCTCATGCACGTCGGCAATTTAGTACTCTAGGGGCCCCCTTCCTTAAGGACCTGGACCAGTTACAGGATCGGGCTTTAAATAGCATTTTATGCTTCGCAAAAGGCTCTAGGTGGTTTTAAACCCTGAGGTTTTTATTATTTTATATACGGCAACACAATGGGCCAATAGGCCTAAGTGGATCCACTAGGGATCACCGGTATAACCTAACCTAACCATTAACTTGCTAAACTTTACTCTCTTCTTTTTTGTTTTTATTTTAACAATAATGGTAAAAAGACTATGAACACACTTTATATATATTTTATCTTAAATGAAAATAAAACGTACACTAATAATATATGAAAACTTATATATAAAACAATCACTGGATTGTATTGATTTTAAGACTTTATTATTTATTATTAGTTCTTTAAGAATCAATAAATAAATGATAACATTGAAAAAAAAAAATTAAAAATATTTTCAGGTATCGGCCCATTTTGACTTGATGCCAAGAACAAACCGTTCTTGTGATATATAGTGATGTGGTAAGTTTTCCTGGCATTATAGGTTATGCATTTAGTCCGAATTAATTCTCGTAGACGTAGCAAACGTCTAGAAAATACAAACAGCAGAAAAAAATCATTAGTTACGACAGAGTACACACAAAGAATACAGCATAAAAACATAAACAACACAAGTTCAATCCGATCATCACATACTCCACACACAAAGAATACAATGCAATTGATCAATGTTTGCATCACCTGATAAAAGATTTCCCTTAGGTCTGCGACGAAAATTGAATGCAATTGGTTTTTCCTATTTTTCTTATTTTGCCTCACGAGTAATCGAACGCATTGTCTTCCAAAGGTAGAACGGGCCAGCTGGTACAGCACAACTTTTGTGCCCTTGTTCGTTTGTCAGAAGTTCGTCCCACAAACAGTCTAAGATTTCCCACTTTATCACTCGAATCAAATCAAAATCAAAAATCAAAAATTTTATTTATTTTAAATTAAGTGTCAATTATGTCTCATATTAGTGATATATGGTAATATTCATTAGACTTTATATGTTACTTTGACGACACTATTCTGCACCTTAACCTGAAATTCTCTCACTCTTTTTATAAAAATTACTTACCTCAAAATTTGTGAGTGGATAAATTTTTAAAATTATTTTAAAATTTATTTATTACACCGCCTTCTTTGTTTTTTAGAAAAAAAAGTTTTTCATATACCATAGGTACATATGTATGAACTGACATTATTCCTTGTGCACTTTTTTGTAACAAGTTTCGTTGTACTACCAGAACTTTTTGGTTTTATACGGCGAAATTTTTTTTCTAATTTGATATTTTTAAACTGCAAAATGTGATTCACATAAAAGTATTATCAAATATTGGGATTTTTAACGCTTGTTCTTTTTTTTTTGTATAAGTGAAGGAACAATGTTTTTTCTTAGTACTCGCTTTCAAAACAGTTTCAGTCTTTTTTTCACAGCTTCTCTCCCACTAAATTTTAGACGCCACTTTTATTTTCTCTGAGGCATTTTTATTTTTATTTTTATTTTTATTTTGAATTTTAAATAACATTTTTTTATTATAATTTTTTTTTAACAATGTTCTTCAGTTATACGAGAATTTTTAGCTAAAATATACGCAAAAGATATTATTTATTTAAAAGTTTCGCCGAAATCTGCAGACTCATACAGAGTCCAACATGTTTTCGTTGGTTATGATATATTGATTAACAACCATTAATACTATAAAAGTGTAATCAAACTATTCATCAAGAGTAACTTACTCCTAATGAACTTTTGGATACTTTAAAGAAATAAATTATAAAATTTCAATAACACATTTGAGACATCCTATCCGCACATAAATATTAGAATAATATTTGATGTAGATTTATGTAATTTAATACATTTTCATCTATTTCTTTACCAGTTATGTCACTTACATAAGGTCTTATTTATTAACACATAACACATAAGAAAAAAATTAGGGACATCAGCTTTGGAAAAGAAGACCACAAACTAAGTGCTGGGAAAGTGCTCTGCACTAATGTATAAGTAGAAGGAACATTTAAGCGAACACAATACCCGATGAAAAGCTAAGACTTTGTAAAAAACACATATACTATACTAATTTATTGAGAAAGTAACATGTCACTTTGAGTCTATGATAGGTGCACAATAGGTCATAAGGTCACACTTCTATTCACCCACCCATTGCGTTTATTTGCCGTTACCCGTTGTTTATTTAAAAATATACTAGTGGCGTTTGTAGTTGTTTGTAAATATAATATAATAACCAAATGCAGTAAACTAACTTTAATTTTTAAAGTTCTTTTTTTTCTTCAGTAACAGAAGTTGTTGGGCGGCCAGGGATCTCATCATGGTCCAAGCTTGTACGACCGTCTTTGAACCTTTTCAACCACTCGTATACTCGTGGTTGCGACACACACAAATCACCAAAGTCCTTTTATAACATTTTTTTAAAAGTTTCGGCACACTTGAATCCATTTGCAACACAATATTCACGTAGTTCTTATTTTTAATCCATTATAAAATGGATTCGTGTCGCCACATGAAAATTTTTTGACTTCTTATATAGCCGCCATACAAAAACTGATCGCACGATATGCGTTAAACTTTGACAGAATGTGTATAATAAAGTTGTGTGCCAGCGTGAAAATAAAAAAAATTTACCGATTGGATAAACGCGGGAATTCAAAAATAGGCCTCCCGTTCTTTTTTGATCAGAAGGTATATGGACATAAACGTAGTGAAAAAAGTTGCCGAAAAAGCTGACACTAGCCAAATTCTCAGTCGAATTGGTGTTAGCTGAATAATACTACACGGAATAATATTTCATTTATATATGACACATACTGCAAAAAATTTGATAAAATTATGATAGAAATGTTTAGGAAATATAATACATAAGGGTATTCACGATCTCGTAATATATTTCGAGTAAATTTATTTAATTTTTGACACTTTACAGAGCTACCCTATTAATCAATTGCCAAACTCGGTACTAGAGGTCGTGAATACCACTCATATGTTTTCTATAAACAAATAAAGTCTAAAACGATGTCAACAAACGTAATTATCAAAAAATACCGACTGAAATATTGAGTTATATTTCGTTGAAATTTTAATATTTTTAAGAACCCTTTCAGTTCTTATGAGCGATTCATAAAGAAATGTGTAAATTTGAAATGTTAATAGATCTGCGATAATTCGTAGTGAATTATAAAATATTGACCTTTAACAGAGTCGTTTCGTTGATGGTTTAAAAATGAGAGATAATGAAAAAGCATTGAATAACTTTGTTCACTTTGGTAAGTGACGTTAAGGGTGCAAGTTGACACCCTGTATTACTATAACGGCACTTTACCTTTACACACAGTTTTTGTATATTAAGTATGCGCATCCAAGTATTGCGCACTAAAACGTGTCACAACGCCTACGCGGGATTATGTATTTAATTTCAATCCTGCTTAATGCCTGTACTTCTTATGGCCACTTTGTTGCAAATTTTTTTCTTTTCAAACTGCAAGTATCTTGCAGGAAACATATCAAGTATAATTTGAAATACTTGATCGATGAGATGTCCACATACTATTGGATATTAATCGCGTCATCTGGCTATTGACGCCAAAACTAAAGACGCTTACGAGGCGCTTTAGAAAATAGAAGCTCCAATCCTATAGGATGGAGATAAGAAGCTTCTAGAATATTTTGATGAATTTTAGAAGCTATAATTTGATTGGTCAAATCCAATCCTAAAAATCTTATGAATGACGATGGACATCAGAAGGAAACTTCTAAGAGTCAGTCGTTGGTAGAAGTTCAAAAAGATCGCTCTTTATCTAAGAAGTCGTTGGTCTAATTCATTGAATACAAATTAAATATATAAATTAAATGTTAAATCATTAAATGTAAAAAGATACAAATTAAATAAAAGAATAATGTTTAATTTAAAACTTTAATACAAGAACCCGTTAATTAATTTGCATGGTAAAAATGAAAGTGTTTATCCATCAGGTGGCTATATATCAAACAACATACGCTTTGCTGCCTTCACAAACCAGTTTTTAGGGTTATTTAAAGCTACGCACTGAATCATTGAAATGGAATTAAACAAAATTGTACTTATAAATTAAAAAAAATTGTACTATTAAAATTTTTTATCTACACAAGCGTTCGCAAACGACGAGTAATTTACATAAGAATAAATTCGTTCCACAACTTGAGGTCGCGTCGTTGTATTGAACTTGAAATTCAACAACAAAGTGAAGCCGCGATAAAAACCAATAAATTAAAAACGGTGGTAATAAATATAATTTTTGTATAATGAAAAAGATGAAAACGATTTACCTCAGTAATTGTGAGAGATGTATATGCGTTAACGGATTTAGAAGACTCAACTGAGTAAAGCAATTGCCAGGTGGGGAAGATGAGCTCAGTAGCGCAATGGCCCTGGCAATGAGTTAGCACAGAATCGGTGTAGGGTGGACAAGCACCTCGCTCCCTAACTGGAATTATTTTGAAGTTTTCGAATACATTTAGTTAGAGGATACTGTTTTCAAGTCTACCTTTTCAAAAAAAGGAAAAAAAAAGGTTTGAAAAACCTATACAGTCAAATCTACTAATATAAAATGACAAATAGAGTGGATGACATATAGATGGCGCTACTATTGATTAATTAATTTAATTTTTGGAAATAGAAGCAAATGCAAGTATTTGACAGTAAGATAATAATGGAAAACTTGTATTCCATTTGTTCATAAAGCATTGGCAGCAACATACCGTTTATGTCCAGCAATGACTTGATAGGAGTTATGGTAACTCTGTTCTCTCGAGTTCACCTGTTTGTTGATGGTACGATAAATTTTAATGACTGCACAGGCACTGATAATGTAATAAAGGTGGACAGGACAACGAACTAAAGATTACTTCAGTTCAGTTCAGTTCGAAATTGTACCTCTAAACGAAGTCGATCTAAATTTTCTAATGTAAAATTTTATATATACCTAAGGTTTAAAGACAAAATGAAAACAAATTTTGAACTTTAAATATACAATCATAGGCTAATTTCTTAAAGTTCATAGTTATAGCTACTTAACTTAATAAAAATTCGCATTTGTCTACTTTTAATCTACTTTTAGCTATGGCATATTTATATAATTTATAATATAAAAGCGAAATTAATCTAGTTTAGCATTCCATTAATATTATTAAGAAAATTACAGTCGAAATAAAATTTTTGAGTAAGACACTACTGATAGAATGTATGAGTATGATGACAATTAAAATGTTAGCAATTTTTTAATATTACTAAAATGAGTGTTCATTTGTATTAATTATAGGTATATATGTATATGTGCATTAAAACTTCAATGCTGGAGAATAAAGCCTAAAAAAGTTATTCTATATAAGTCATATTATAAGTTTCTTTAATAAAGGTTTAAAAGAAGATTTTCATACATTAAGACTGAAAAGTTTTCGGAAATTCTCATTTAAAATTCGCGCGCTGTATATTTTTCGATATTTTAAGTTTATGTAGTTTGGCAGCACTGTTCTTAATTACTATGCCAAAAATGAGCGCGATCTGTCAGACAGTTCGTTTACGGCAGCTGTTGAAACCAGTTCCCCTCAGTAGTGCGTTGCGAAATGTCTTCGACGGTCGTACGACCGTCCTGAAAGGCTTTGTACCACTCATAAACTTGAGTTTTCGATAAAACTGATTCCCCATAAGCCTTTTGTAGCATTCGCAACGATTCTGCACACGAAATTTCGTTCGAAACACAAAATTTGATGCAAACTCTTTGTCCAATATTTTTTTCCATTGTTTTTTTCGCAACGCACTACTGAGGTGAACTGGTTTCAACAGCTGCCGTAAACGAACTGTCTGACAGATCGCGCTCATTTTTGGCATAGTAATTGTCCTTAATTGCTGCCAAACTACATAAACTTAAAATATCGAAAAATATACAGCGCGCGAATTTTAAATGAGAATTTCCGAAAACTTTTCGGTCTTAATGTATATATTTTAGAAACACAAGTCTGTTAAATGATTAATATTTGACATAAAATTGATAAGTTTTTAATATCAACACATAATTTTGTACGGAATATCATATTCAAAACATTAAAATAGAAACTATTTAAAAAAAAAAAACTAAAAAGTTAAAATTTATTTATTCAGGTTTCTTTTTATTGAAACATAAAGAAAAAGTTAATTTTATAAAACTTATTTGACATTTAAGTGGTCAATGCAAATGTACTTAGTATAATTTTAATTAAAAGCAAGCAAGTTCAAGTGCATAAACGCCTACTGACATAAATCAGCAATATTTTATACACTCAAATTATGGTGTTAAGGGTCGAAAAGATACTACCACCAGGAGTGGGAAACAATTTTGCATTCGAAGGTCACATTCATCTTCAACAGAAATCGCGGTTCACTTAGATATTTCAAAACTAAAAACAGAACTCTCAGTTTCCATATCAGTACTGTTATAATTAATTACTTCATTTTACTAAAAGAGATTAAAACTAATTAGAAAAACTATTGACTTAAGAATGGCAAAAAAAAACCTAAAATTGCAAAATTATCATCATCAATTATAAA